CCTCCCAGGACAGAAGGCAGCCAGAATAGACTGAGGACTAATCTGGCTGAATCCCTGCCTAGCTGGTAGCCAGAGCTGGCCTAGGCCCAGAGGAGAGTTCATTCAAAGTCCCATCACTGGGCATCCACCGGAACAGAAGCGAGCCAGTGAGGTGGCTGGAAATAAACAGGCCAGGCTGCTTCCATTTGAGAAGACTGCTGATTAGTGGACAGCCACTGGTGGAAGCTGTTCCTGGAGACAGGAGAAAGAAGTTCAAATCTAGGAGGGGCAAGGGGTTGGCTCCCCCCTTAAACAGGCAGCCCTGAGCACAAAGGGCACAGATAAGAAGCAATAATAATAATTTATAATGTAAGAATAAGGGTTCCTGGGGGGAGGGAGGGGATAAAAGGGAGCTGATATCAAAGAAGAAAGAAAATGTTCTAAAAACGGTGGCAGTACCGTATATACTGGAGTATAAGCCGTTCCAAATATCGGTGGAGGCACCTAATTTTATCATTAAAAATGTGCTGAAAAACTGGCTTAAACAGGAGTAGATATGGTAATTGCACAATTATGCTTGATCTCATTGAATTATGGATTGTTAAAATATCTGTAAGAGCCCCAATAAGATGTTTAAAAAAGAAAAGCTCCATTAAACCTACCGGTTGGGGCGAGGCCAGCCTGCCACGCCCACGCAGAAGCAAATGAGGGTAAGAGTGAGGCTCTAGACCCATAGAGGCACACCAAGCCCTGAGGACCACGTCCCTCCACGAGGCGGCTGAGTCAGCAAGAGGGCTGCAGGGCTGACCACAGCTCGAAGCATGAACCCCCCTGCTGGATCATACCACAACAGAAGACAACCCTGGGGACACATGGTGGGGAGTCCAGTCTGAACCTTTGACGGCACGGCCTTCCAAGAAGGGAACGTAACAGATCAGCAACAGGAGCATAGCCACGCCACAATGCCCAAGGAGTCTCCAAAATAGACTCCAGGATAGGAGGGGCAGTTCCAGGAACCCGCCAGACCAGTGGGGAGATAGTCATAAAGGTCAATAGAAGACCTGGAATTATGTATGCTTTTTGGGGTTTTTTTGCTAGTTATTATTATACACACACACTTACTTCCCCCCACCTTTTTACTAAATTTTTTTGTTTTCTTTTTGTATTGTCTATGTTATTGTTGGTGTGCCTACCTATATATTAGATAGACATGGGAAGCAAGTCTGAAGAGAAAGGACTTAGGGAAGGAGGTGGTGGCGGAAGGGAGGGGTGAGCAAACAACGCCATAGACGGGAATAACTAGGGAATTAAAATCAACAAGTAGGAGTATGTAGAGATCCCAGGAGGGTTGGAGAAACAGCAATCTAGCCGAGAGGAATTACTAAGAGGCGGAAGAAGGGTAAGCGTGATGGTGGAGCAGGAGGAAAGTAAAAGGAAACAGAAGAAAGATCTAGGAAGCAAAGCTACGGATAAGGGTATAAACATAGGTGTGCACTTATGTAAATACATTAATTCATAAAAAGAGGTATTAGAATATGCACATATATTTATTTATATGGCAATACATCGAGGAAGTGGACGGACGTTGGGCCTCTGCTCAAGCCCCTCCTCAACTCAAGAACAACTTTGTTCCAACAACCTGGCATTCTGTGATGCTTACCCTCCTGGCAGGATTGCTGAAGACAAAATGGGTACAAAAGCAAATGTGGTGAAGAAAGCTGATGGTGCCCGGCTATTAAAAGATATAGTGTCTGCGTCTTAAAGGCCTAAAGGTAAACGAGCAGCCATCTAGCAGAGAAGCAGCAAGCCCATATGGAAGAAGCACACCAGCCTGTGTGATCATGAGGTGTTGACAGGATCAGGTAACAAGCATCAGAAGACCCAAAACAAACAAACAAAACATCTGAGAACGAAAGGGGTAGAAGCAGAGCCCAAAACCCATCTGTAAACAATGGGACATCCCCCCACAGGAAGGGATGAATCAACTAAGGTGCAGTATAGCACCGATGAAACACACAATATTCCTCTGGTTCCTTGAGGCTTCCTCAACCCCCACTGTCATGACCCCAATCCTGCCTTTCGCTGTGGGCTAGGCTGGCTCATGTCCACAGGTACAGATAAGAGCTCAGGACACAAGGAATCCAGGTCAGATAAACCCCTCAGGAACAGAAATGGAGTAGCAATACCAGAAGGGTAGGGGGAAGGTGGGGAGAGGAGGGGGAGAAAACCACAGGGGAAGGGAGACAGCAGTCGGTGTAAGATATGAAAATAGTAATCATTTATCATTTATCAAGGGGTCACAAGAGTGGGAGGGGGGGCAGAGGGTAAAAGGAGGAGCGGATGCCAAGGGTTCAAATAGAAAGTAAATGTTTAGAAAATGATGGCAACACATGTACAAATATGCTTGATTCAACTGATGTAAGAGCCCCCGATAAAATGATCTTAAAAAAAAAAGAAAAGGCTTGTGCTCTTAAGTCCTGGCACAATGTGTTGGGCTCAGCAGACACACCCAACACAGCCATGGCTTGGCTTTATTTACTCAACAAAGAGTAGATGCTCCCTAAAAAAGGGAGTGTTTGTGAGAGGACCAATCTGGGGGCGGTCTGGGAAATGACTGTGATGGTGACAACCAGGCCACTAAGGGGAAGCCCAGAGCAATCTCCCACCCACTAGGCAGCGAGCCTGGCTGTTTGTTTAAGCCCAAAGAGCAGAGTGTGAGTTCAGCTTTGTTTCTCACAGGTCATGACCCTTAATGGGCCTCAGTCTCCAGAAGACAGGGCTAACTCTGACCTTCTTTGCACTCTCCTGTGGAAGAACACATTTTTTTAAAGTCTGGCACCACTGAGAGGGAGTCTCTTACACTGAAGGCACCAGCAAGCCATGCATCAGAAGCTGTACTGGTCAGCCAGCATGCAGCTCCTCGAATGGAACTTGACCCAGAGCGGTGTGCAGGAAGTCCCTGGTGAGTGCTATTGATATGGCCATGCCTCACCAAACAAACTTCAGCTGAGCAATGGAATTAGAAGGTGCCAGGCTTGAGTGCTGAAAGGAAGTGGAAGGTGCTCCCTCCCATGTTGGGGTAGGGGAGAAGCCTGCTTCTTACTTGAAGGTCAAGTAAGAGACAGAGGTATAATAGCTTGTTGCTGAGGTGGGGAGAGATTTCTTTTGTTACTTGTTGCAGGAGGGCAGCTTGGCCAGACAAAGGAGTACTGTCCCAGGGGCAGGAACTGGAAGCTAGAGAGTACTGGTCCCTAATCCTGCTAACTGCAATGATGAAGACAGTCAAGATCAGAGAGAAGCGAGGGTTGAGGGAGCCAGCACAAGGGCCCACTAGTTTTGCTAAGGAAAAGTCACAAGGAAAGAAGTCAAAAACAGAAGCCACACTCTGAGAACCAAAATCCAGCACCACTCACTTCACATACCACACTTAAACCCAACCCGTCCAAACAATCCACACAAACACAAACAAAAACTATCAAGTTCTTCTCAGCAGTTTTTTCTTTATCTCCGCTCCTACACAGGCAAGCTGGTACCTCTTTTTCTTAAAAGCATGGCCAATATAGAATCCACAGTACTGTAAACCACATCCTTCACTATCGTCTATAACTGGGGTCCATACTAGACACCGGGCAGAGGGAAGAAGGGATCTGGGGATGGAAAAAAAGTTAGAAAGCCTCGGATTCAAGTACTGGCTTCATCATATAGCGATTCTCTCTTAAATCATGCCCTATTTATAAACAGGGATGGTCCTCCCTGCTCTCCTACTTCTTGGCATTAGCTAAAATCAATAGATCCAATTCACAGAAAAATGCTATGTGAAGAGGAAG